CACATGGAGCAAAGTTCACAATTTAGTAAAGTATGCAAATTTAAGGCTGCAGACAATTTTTAGACGACTCCTTATCGACAGAAGCAAAAGGAGAACGTAATAAATAATGCACATGGGTAATCTGTAATTCATATGCAAAGTTCAATGAATGTCTACCAAATTGGTTCCACAAAACCAAGCCAGGAAACATTAGATGTTGGAATCACTTTCATTTTTCTGCAGCAAAATCACAAGCCATTTCCACCATCCTTTGTTAACAAGTAAGGTCACAGGTAGCTTAGAGATGCTAAGAATTTAGTTTCATGATAATCAACACCATCTTTCGAAATCCAAACATTATAACAAAAAGAATATGGAACTCCATGCACAGGACATTAACACATGCAACTAAAGAAAGAGGGAGCTTACGGTGATGATATTAGGATGCCTTAACCGAAACAGCAAAGCTACCTCTGAAATGAAGTGGTTCTCAAGCATTGCAGCCAAGCTCTCATCCTCCTCAGGCTGACTTACAAGCTTGACTGCCACATCTCTTTGCTTATATATCCCTCTATAAATCCTACTATGCCTCCCTGATGCAAATTTGTTACCAATAAACAACTGAGACATATCTGCACTCCATTCTCCTTCTCCCTCTCCTTTAATCTCTGCCCCAGATGAAACCAAATACTCGGACCAAGAAACTGCTCTCTTATATTCTCCAAGAGACAGCCTCCTCTCTGATTTTCCATTGTTAGAGCTTTGCCTAAACCAGTATAGATTCCTCATGGATTTGAACCAAATTTTAACAAAATCATCAGATATTTAACCCTTTAGCCTATAGAACCCAATGTAGAAACAAAAAAGCCTCTAAATTTAGACTATAAACTTAATTTGTATGTGACCGATAAGGAAAAATCTGAACTTGCATGCATAGAAACTGTTTCTCACTCAACTACATTTCGAAAACATTCAGTATTCACGTATTCAAACATTGATGAAAACAATTCCAAAAACTCTAATCAACCATTTAAATTGAACTTCAGTACTTGAAAACAAATTTAGAAACAAGAAAACAAATGTTTGATTCATTAAGCTGCAAACAAAATCCAAAAAGTTTACTTCTTT